TACATCAAAGTCGACCAGTTAAAAGAGGAGGAGGAGAAGCAGGACAATAACTTATAATGTTTGGTCTGCAAACTTGAGGATACGGAGGGAATTTAGCCGCTTGGAGCATACAGTATTATTGGCTTCCGTTCAAAGTATAGCCACACCTTTTAGACATTTGATTGCACACACAATGCTCATCAGCTCAAACGGGTGTGGGTGCGATATTAAATGATCGCGGTCTAGTCGCATAATTTTTGTCCTTGATGAACTGGTACCAGTTATGTTCTCTTTCCTAAGTTCTCTAAACGATAACAAAGCATCTGTATCTGCACACTCAAATAAACACACTCACACACACAAGTGTATGCACACATGGCTGTGCCTTAAAATGCATTAACCAAATGATTTTACCTCTTCGAGATGACTCTTGCCTGCATCTGTACATCTGGCTTGTATGAATCAGTTAGTTTTGAGGACGTGTTATGGACTTTAAATAATTGAAAGAATGAGAACAATCCATTCAGATGCCTTTCAAGCAGCATGGCGGACGAAAGACTCGAACATTTTCACCTGAACCGATAGTGGATGTTCCGTGGACAGCGTCCCTGGAAGGTCAAGCAGCAGAATAAGCCGGATAAGCCATCTGCTTCGAATGGGCTCGACTTTTCGTCACGGACTTTTACATGAAATTAATGCTAGCTGAACAGTGAGAATAGTGATTCGACATTAAATCCGCCAATTAATATTGCCCAAACATGAAAGCTGCTAGGGGCCGGTAGGTTCTTTGATGACTGATCTTCGAAAGGCAAAAAATGACTCTGAATTTATTTTTAATGAAACTCGCTCTACTTCGTAGCCTAAACGTGCCTTGAAAATTACGCTTGCTTTTTTTAAGATTTTTGTGGACCATGACTGCCAAGGTTCTGATTTTCAACCTACAAGTCCTGGCTTTGCGTTTGGCCGCGGGTCCTGGTGACGCTTGGACAAGGCCAAAATCTTATTCTAGGCCTGATTAGAAGACATCTTAACTGCCAAGTGGTATGAAGTCCTCAGACGCCGAACTACTAGACAATCTATGAAATTGGTCTTCTTCTAACTGAATGTATCTCTGTTGAGGGATAGTTGGACCTGGTTATGCGGCTGTATTAAAGAGACCTGGGCCATTTTTATTGTTGGTCCTTGTTTTCGTGGAAGGCCTATCTATCTCTTGACTATCGCAGCTTTGGCGATATTTTCAATTGTACGACGCTTTTTCCTTAATTTGTCTGCATTTTTATGGATGCTTTATTTTGCAAGCAATTAGTGTGCTCACAGTAAAGCCAGCTGACGAAATCCAACTAAAAGTCAAATGGCCTTCATTTCGAAGCCAGCGAGTTTGATCTTTGTCGAGTTCACTCCAGGCCCTGACTTCTCACTCATTTTTGTAACTGACATGAACTGTAAATATAACCCATCAGTTGCACGAAAATCATTGCTTCAAATCGGTTGACATTTGTGGCTAATCTGTTGGTATCTAGTATGGTATACATTTTGAATATTTATATCTATCTGTCTCTCTATATAAATAATATAATATGATGCCAATAGAATATAATTATATATATATCTTGAGTTTTCATTCTGACGAAAATTTGGTTGAGTGCATTAAGGAATTGCCAGTATAAGTAAGGAAGTAGTAGTCATTTTAAAGCAAGAATGTTGGATTGTGCAGAGAACTCTGCTCACCTTCCTACGAGCCTAATCCCATCTAACTGAGATCTTGTCTGTCCCGCTGTAATAGACAGCACTAGAGCTCGAATCCAACATTTCCGAACAAAGCACTCATGCCCTATGCGAAGAACAGTGGCCAATCAACTACTTTGCCTGGTTAGGCAAACGTGGTATCTAAACTAATGATTGTTCGGTTCGGCCATCTTACATTTTTTTGGGTTACTAGTGCCTTTTTCGTAAATAGTTCTTTTTGGCTCTGGCGATGTCGAGATTATATGCTGCATAGTCATGGTTCGAGTCCCGTTGAGGGTGTTTATGAGACCTAGGCGAGGTTAAAACTGCAGTCCAGTCTAGCCTGGATAAGAACAGCTTTTGGGAAGCAAGGCAATGTGAAATGCAATGGAAGTGTCAAATCAACTCATATAATTGTAGGAAAATTCAACTGGCAGTCTTGCATCACCTTAGACGAAATAGAGGAAACACGTCTCAGAGATCTGGCGATTTCCGTCATGCGAGACGAATGAATGGCCAGCCAGGATGGATCGAGCTGACAAGATCCAGAGCTGAGGACATTGCCGATTCTCCGAACTCGAACAGTCTCCATTCCTGCTCCGCGAAGGCCAATTCGCGAATGCTTTCAAGAAAACATTCACTCGGTTTGCATTGACATCGAACATTCCTTACCATTTTCGAAAGTCTTCTATCATGTTGGAAAGAGTGATTGCGTGTGTTTTGCCAGTCTCTCTCTCTCACTCACCATTCCTTTAAGGTTTATTCATATTATTTGGGGAACGTTTGACTACAATCCGCCTGGTGACATTAAAAGAAATTTGGTGAGCAAAGCAGCCTTCCTCACTTTAACTCGCGTTCTGAGAAAGAAGCGCATCTGCCCTTCCTTTCCCAGCCTTACTTCATCCTTCATGCTTGCTTGACCACGCAGACATGCATAGCCCGACCGGCCAGATTGCACAGGCCTTGTGGTCTTTCTGTTTCGTGTCGTCTTCAAGTCTTCTTGCGTGTCAGCATTCTGGATTGAGTACCTCGCCTGATCAGCAGAAACCGCTCCACTTGAATGGATCGCCATCAAGTTCGTCACTCTCTGGCTTGACGCAAGTACGTTTGCTGCACCCTTCGGTCTCCGGTGTTCGGTCCACCTTCCGTGTTGATAAGCTGCAAGCCTGACCTCTCACTTCTGCGTCCTCCTTTCTGCCTCATTTGCAGGTCGGCCTTGACATTCCTGCCAGGAGGGAACATCCGAAGGCCGAGCTGCCGATGCTTTGCCCCAGAACGGAAGTCAACCTTTGATCCGGATCACCTTCTCCGTTGCCCGTGCTTGCCACTCTTGCTGCCACGACCACGGCCATCAATGCACAACTTTTCACTCGCCCAATTCTCCTTCTATGCATATGCTCACCTCAAATGTTAGTGCATTTGTGTGTGTGTCTGTGTGTCTGTGTGCATGCATGTATCCATTTTCGCATGAGTGGGTGTGTTTTTCTTTGGTACATCAAGAGACATCCCCCAGTTTGTGCTTACGTCCTCGTGACGACGTTGCTTTTTCAACCGATGAATCTGTTTGTCTCAAGAGCAGAATATCGGTGAACTCTGTCTGATACAAGATCCGCATATTGATCCGGTTGTCGAATCTTCTTCACAAGCGTCTGCTCAATCTACCCGAAAGGGTCCTGAGCAGCGGGAGGCTGCATGACGATTAGATCTGCGGCATGCCGCGGTCACTGTCCCTCTTTGCCACCGTTTTGTGGCTTGTCATCTCCGCTGCCATCTTCACCTCGTCCAGATCCGAGCCTACCTCAACCTCTTGACACAGTTTTGAGGATATGCAGCAAAAGTGGATCTCGTAGCGGGCCACTTGTTCTCTTGGTTTGGTACCTTTTTTGTGCCATCTCGTAACCCTTGGCCTGCTGCATTGAGAATGTCTGTCACGATGGCACAGATGACAACTCAACACAGCTTCATCGGAGGGCGGAAGGTGGTGCGTCGACGACTTGTCGGCACAATCCAACCGTCTTCACTCCACTCGTCGACAATCTTCCTTTCACTTTCCGATGAGATTATTTCACAAATTGCTTCCAACCAATTTTGCTGGCGAAATGCAAACTCATACCACAATTCCGTCTCTTCGAACGTCTTCTGCACTTCACCGGCTTGTTGAAGTCGGCCAGTCCAGGCCGGCCGGCAAGAGAGCTATTCTGCTCAGAAGGCCGGGCCACTTGAGTCCTCCTCTTTGCATCGGGCCTAGCGGCTTTCGGTGTTAACCTCACTTCAACTTCCACTTCCATTTCCATTTCCACTTTTATTTCCACTTCCATTTC